GGGGGCCGCCGCGGGCCGGGGGGCCCCCCCGCCTCTGCCCGCCGCGGCGCGGGGGCGCACGGACGGGCTCCCTGCTCCCCGGGAGGTGCCCTGCCCCGCCAGAGGAGAGGGGGAAGCAGGAGGGGACTCAAGGAGAGACCCCCAGCCCCAGGTGCCAGGGCTTCCCGCGGCCGGAGCCTGGGGCAAGGGAGAGGCGGGGAGTAGCGGGCTGTGGGGCGGGAAGGGGCACAGACATGCCCTGGCAGGGGCGGAGGGGGGCACGGAGAGATCTGGGATGCCCGCCCCCGCTAGGAAATTAGGGCCCGGGTAGGAAGGAGGGGTAAAAGAAGAGGGAAGTAGAGGCAAAAGGGGACACGCACAGACTTCCCCCGCCCTGCGATGCATGGGGTCTTAGGCTTCCCCCCTTGCCAGGGTATTGAGGTTGGGGTAGGAGGGGGTGTAGGGGACACGGGGAGAGATTCCCCCACTTCCTGGGAGGCATGTGTTCCTGGGGCCTTCTCCCCTGCCAGGAGAGCAGGGCAGGGCTCAGGGGAATTATGGAGATGCCCCATCTATGTGCCCCTCCCAGTGCTCCCACACACCCGTGCCCCCTCCCCAGCCTTCCCACTTGTGTGCCACACACAATGCCCCCCACATTCATGTGTGTATAACACATTATAGCCCCCTGACTCATGCACACCCCAGTCCTGCCCTGCATGCCCACATGGACCAAGAGCAGCCTGAAAGTAGGGCATACGTGTGCAAGGATGCACATGCATGTGATGAGTTGGTGGGTGGGGGGGGGGTGTCTGCTGATGGGTCCCCCACTTACTCTCGGGCTGACTGCTACCAGATGGGCTGGGGGTGCGCTGGATACTGCCTTAAGACCTATGATTAGAGCCTGGGGAATGAACCCTGGTGTGTCCAAGCTTGGGGTGGGGGTTGTGCCAGGCAGGGTCTGTCTGTGGCAGTGGGACTGCTTACCTGGGGCAGGAGGAAGAGCACAACAGGGAAAGGGGATGCTACAAATGAGGTGCAGGCGGCAGGGGAGAACCCACCCTTTGCTGGGGCACCAGGCCTTCCCCTCCTGGGAGAGAGCCCTCTCTGCCCTTCCCCCCCTTCTCCATGCAGTGGGGTGAAGCTCTGGGGGTCCCCACCTGGCCCCATGACTGCCGTTCAGCCCTACAGCGAACAGGGTTTGCCCAGCCGCCTGGGGGAACTACAATCCCCATGATGCACTGGGAGCTGGGGGACAGGCTGCTGAACGGCGAGGTGGGTACACTGCATGCTGGGACATGTAGTCCCCCAGGGGCTGGGTTAAACAGGCTCCTGCCATGTTCCCCTCAACAGCTCTACTCGAGGCCTCATTGGCTGGGAGAACCTGCCAGTCACTCTTCCCCACCCCATTATTTCT